AAGAACACAACTCCTGAGAAATGGCTGCAAACAGGAGGTGAGCCCTACCATCACCCTAGGTTACTTCTTGGAGAGTTTCTAGGCTGAAATGCAAGGAGGAGAAACCCAGGCGGGGCCTGGCAAGTTTCCCCTGAGTTTAGGAGATGTAGCTCTGATCAAGATGGTCAGAAACATTAGAATTTACAGGACAGAATACCAAAGGAAAGGCCTACGTAGAGTGAATGCCAGGTACTTGCAAAGCTCCACCCTCCAGCTGAGTATTGGTCAGCATATGTGTTGAGGAAACTACCAGAGGCTGGGGAAAGAATGACCTGAAAGGACTGAAGGAAGCAGTCCGTAGAGTTCATACAGGAATAGCACCCAAGGGAAAAACCTCTTTCTTTATGGACATTGGGTAGAGTTCTCTAAAGAATTTTGCCTCAGAGAGTGGGAAAAAAATTAGTCCTAAACCAAATGCTGCTGTGGTCCCACACAGTTTAAAAGCAAAACTTGAAAGGATCCAACTGTTTACAAGTAACTTATCCCAGAAAAAAGCTCAAGAATATTTATAGGAATACAAAAATATCCTGTACCCAACAAGGTAAAATTCACAATAGAGACCCAATCAAAAATCATCAGGAATGCAAAAAAGAACTACTATTTTAAAAAATAATTTTCTTGGGGTTTTACTGAATCTTAAGTTTTCCTTAAAAACAAAAACAGAACTGTCTTTAGCATTTTCACCCTTGTGCTAACTTCAAAATTCCTCCTCCACCTGAATGAACTGCTATTTCTCATATGAAACATAAACATCTTTAAGCAAGGAGCACCGTGATTAAAAACTCAATCTTTAGAGACAGAAAATTCTTTAGAGGCAGGTCTGAATTCTTTCTTTCGTATTTAGCTCTGAATTCCTGGAAAAGCCAGGGAATTTCTCTGAGTTTCAGTAGACTTATCTATAAAATGGGTATATTTGCTCTATAGGGCTGCTGAAAAAATACAACAAAATAAAAAATTAGTAGTGGCTATCATTTCATAATATCCACATTTTCATAAGAAAAGTGACCATGCCACATATTCAGTCAAACATTGACTAAGCACTTATCACATGTTAGGTCATATGAAGGCACTAGGAATACAAAAGAGTAAAAGGACCCAAGGTATATCTTATGTTGAATCCACATTTAAAAGTTCAGTTCAAGTACAAACTTCATATTCCACTTCTTAATTTCTAAGTAGGGCAATTATTTTAAGTTCCTCCTATAAAAATTAAAGGATGATTTTTTTCCCTTTGAAAGGAAAAAATAATCTAAGAAGTTAAGTTCAACCAATCAGAGCATGCCTGAGAAATACTTGGAACTTGAAAAATATGGTAAAACCTTAATTTAAAAGCAACCTGCAATTAACATCGCCTTTCAAAATTATTCTAAAATTGGTAGACTAAATTATATTCAGACATAAAATACATAAAATGGACCAATCTGTTATTATGATAATCTTTTCAGAAAGGCTGGGCCAACAGATGTAAGGAATTAAAATCAAGATCAAGTTTGTATTTCATTTGCTCATTCCACTTAAATGATGACAGATGGCTTAAATATTAACCCTAATAATAAAGTATTTGCATATTCATTACGAACCTGATTAACTTATCTCAAAACTCCAACTTTTCATTTTATTAATTTTACTACACGGCTACCCACTTCACTTACAATCTTCTAAACCTATGTCTCAAAGTGTGGGCCTCAAACCAACAGCATGAGCGTGGCCTGGGAGCTGGTGAGAAGTACAGAATCTCATTCCCCATACCAAATCTATCTTGATAGAGTCAGAATTTGCATTTTAACAAAATCCCCAGATGATTTCTATGCACATTAAAGTCTGAGTAGCACAGCTGTAAACCGACGTGGGCTTTGGTTCCACTTTAAAAAAAAAAGTGTAACAAAAACATTTTTTGCTTCCACATTACAGTTAATTTCTCTCCAGACAGTACTTTTTCATAAGAACAACTCAAGTCACAGAAGTAAATCAAAATCAGCACGCACATGCACACACACACACACACACTCACACACATATATGTCATATATGTGTATCTAGTGGATTTATGTATAATCTTTAGGCCTCAGACTTGATGTTGCCATTCAACTAGGACTTCAAGTCTTACAAATACTGTAGGATTCATTTTTCCTCTGGAGTTGACATTTGTCTTAGCATGTGGCTACTGTGATGAAAGTCTTCTCTGTAATTAAACAACTTTACAGTACAGAACCAGAAGAACAGATTCTCTCCATAATTTCAGAAAAAAAAAAAAAAGAAAAGAAAAAAATTCAAACCAGGTTCATCCAAGATAGTGAAGGTTTCCTAGAGAAAACAACTACCAGAATGACTATCCTCCACAATAATGTATTTTTGTGCTTTGCCTAACATATATTTTTACTGCAGGTACCACATATTTTTAAAATAAGAGATTCACATGGCACTTAAAGAGTACAGTTCTTTAGATGGTTCATCTTTTGTTATTATGATTATTGCACAATAGTCACTATGCTCATAAAATAGAACAAATCTTATTTCGCTTTCATTTTTTTTTTTTAAATGATAGACCAAGGCTCAAACTGATCACAGCAGGCAGGCTGGTCCAGAACGGATTCAAAGGAAGGTACAAATGTTCACTTTTCAAAAGCTCGGCAAAAGCCAGCCTCATTTCTTGTCACTGTAGCCGTGGCCTCATGCCAAACATTTGAACACTCTTGAAAAATGCTGTTCCTGATCAACAATTATGAAAAGCTTTGTGAAGAGAGGGAAAAATTGTTAATAACAATCAATTTCCTAAAATGGTCAAGTGCCCATGGCCTGTGGGTTGAGACCTCAGAGTCACCTGGCATGTCTGAGCCAATGCACCTGACACAGATGCCTTAGGAAAAAGGGTTCAAAGAGTCCTATGAGAAGTTATCAAGGAACATATTGGAGCAGGCTCAAAAGTTAAATATGTCCTCAAACAACCACAGCTTTTTATGAGATCCCGTTCTAGATCTGTCATCCTTGAATTTAACTCTTTCTTGTCCCATTTTGCATTTCAGTCTATGTCATTTTTTAGGATACAGAGTTCCACAAGAGCAAACTACGTGTTTTATACTTTCTAATGGACATAGGTATATTGATCTCAAGCTTTAGAGGGCCCTTTACACTCATATTCCAAAATGTGATGAGTAATTCATTATGTCTGTGTCTACTCACATTCACAGCCAAACCTCTCAGAACTGTCTAAGCACTTTGGCTTCTTCACCTATCAGTCACTCTCCTACCCACTCCTATTTGGCTTCTTCTTCCTTCACTCCACTGAAACCTCTTGGCGAAGACCGTGAAGGAAGACCTTCATGCTGCTAAATACAATGGATGCCCCTTAATCATTATTTTTCTTAACGTTGAAGCATCATTCAACAAAGCTAATCAATCATCCTCTCGCTCTTCAAATAACTCTTATTAGCACTGATGAACCTTCATGGTCTTGGGTGCTTCTCAACCTCCCTTGTCCATCTTCTTTGGGGCTCTGCCCCCTCTATCTGACCTACAGATGTTGGACTACCTTGGGGCTTGGTCTTGGAATTGCATCTAGCCTCAAGACTATAAACATCACCTTCATGCTGCTGATTCACACATCCACATCTCCAATCCAGATCTGTCTTCTGAGTTCAGAACAGTATGTCTACTAAACGTCTCCATGTGGACACTTCATCAACAAATTAAACTCGATATATACCAAAATCTTAGGTCTTTCCCTCACTGTTTCGTCTCCAGTGTTTCCCATTCCCCAGCCACCTACTAAGTTATTTCTCCTAGAAACCCCAAAGTCTCTTACTCTCACCACTCATATCCAATCAATTCATCAAGTCCTACCATTTTGGGTCTCTAAAATATATGCCCCATTTTTCCATCTCTGCCATCATCCTCCAGGTGTAAGCTGTTGTCATCTCTGTCCTACAACACAGCAACAGCATTCCAAGTGATCTTCCTGAATCCACTCATACTCCCCTCCAATGTCATTTACACACTACAACCACAGTGACCTTTAGCCTTACTGGCCTTCTCTCTACATAGTACACATGCTGAAGTTTTTTCCACTTGTGGAACCTTTCCACACGTTATGTCTTCCACCTGGAATATTTGTTCTTTTTCCTTTACTCTTCTCATGCCTACTGCTGCCCAAAACACATAAATACACACATCTGTATGTGTGCATAACCCAAAACTATAGGGTCCGCATCCAACAGTCGAATCACACCAAAGGAAGTGAATGACTGGTAACCCACTGCATTAAAACACATAACCAGAACAAAATAATAACCCCAAGCCCTTCTACAACTTGACATACGCCATGCACTATTGTAATTGATACAGATCAATCACACGAGCAGTGCATAGATGAAGGAGAGCTATTATCGATACTTCTCCCTGTTGCCTCTATCGTTATTTTACCATAACTTACAGATATTATTTCTATTTTAAGATGAATGAGGTTCAGAGAAACTGGGCAGCTAAGGACAAGTGGAAATTCAGTGGCAAGCTAGACTTCGGGGGCTGGCGGTGTAGCTCAGCAGGACAGCAAGTGTTTAGCAAGCAGGAGACAACGGCTCAAAATCCCCTGGCCCAAAAAAGCCAGATTTCAGATTTAGTCCTGCATGACAACTTGGTTATGGAAGGGTCCACCCTCCCTTCCACGATCACCTGGTTACTTGGGTATAAGCTACGTTCTCGACTAGGCTAAAGACATCAGAATCTTGCTCAATGCTAAATCCCTAGCCCACTGGGTGTGGCTGTATGAACGGTCACTGCTCACGTGCATAATTGTTTCGAGAATGCGGTTTCCGTCGTGCCTTTACCACTCTCTCCCCCTCCACCCTCCCCGCATTCACCACACCAGGCACTGGCCCTCAAAAGCCCCTGGTCACCAAACACAGTCTTGCCGCCCTCCCCTGGGATATGGGCATCTGGCGGCCATTCCTGCCCTTAGACCTCACCTTCCACGTGGGAGAGGGCGCTGTCACAGCTTCCGGGCCAGGCCCAGGCGACTCTTCTGCAGCCGAGAGCATGAAGCGTCCATAACGCTGCAGAGGCCACTGTGACACTTCTCCCAGAAGTCCAAAACCTGCGGCCCCGTTTCCCGCCTCAGCCATGTCTGGCCTTAGGCACTCGCAGCCGCCGATGCGTGCAGCCAGCCAATCAGGAGGCGAAGAGCCTCAAGGCCCGCCCCCGCCCTCGGCGAGGAGCCAATGGGCGAGCCCAGAGCGCTTCCGCGGCGTCGAGTCTCTCGAGACCTCGGGAGCGCGGAAGAGGACATCTTTACTTCGGTGGAAGCAGATCTGGAGCTGCAGCTTTGGAGCCTTCGCCTTCCCTCAAGACGGCCATCGCTCTGAGTTACAGAGTTGCCACCCGGCTGACTCGGAAGCTTCTCCGTCCTGGAACAAGACCCGCGCTGTAGGGCGGACTGCACCCGTGTTTCCACGACCAGGCCGGGTGGCATCTCAGAGCGGCCGAAGCACGGCCCGCTTCCGCCCGCCATGCTGGAGCCCTGGTTACTTGCTCGTCGGCCTGCACCCCTGGACGTGCTCTCGCCAGGCCGTCCATGTTTCCCCCAGCGAGGAGCAGATGGGTAGGGAGGGGGCCGGGTCACACAGCAGGTGCACCCCATGACACTTCCCGCAAAGCACTCTCTGCATCTGTTATTTCATTTGGCCTCCCTTGTGATGAGGTGAAAGAAGCAAATCCGAGATCATTGCCCCCACAGAGTACATGGACGCCCAGGAGGCCCGGAGAGAAGCCGTGATTTATTCCGAATTACACGGCCAGTGAAGGGCAGGCTGTGGACTCCACCGTCCTTCTCACTTGTAAAGAATTCAGGTGATGCATGCGGTCTGGGGCAAACTGGAGGCACAGGATAAGAGGGTGGAGGCCATGTTAACCGAACGTATAAAGTATAATTAAAATGCAGGCGGTTTTTAAACTCTGCGTGTCAAAAGGCATTTCGATGCACAAGCCATGATTGGAAAGGTAGCATCAATATCCACGGTGTGCAAACAACTGTGCTAGTCAGGAGCGGGTTACAGAAATGGGATCTGCAGATCTGGTAGGGAAGACAAAACAAGGTGTGAATATACCCATGATGCCTTGCAGCTAAGGCCCTGCATTTTGAGGGTTACAGTAGCATTTGACTTGGGACTTGACGGGTGAGAAAGTTTCCTAAAGGAAGGTGGAGGAAATTGGTATTCCATGTGGAGGGGAAGTTGGGCAGAGATGCAAAGATGAAGATAACGACATAAAAAAATAGAATACACAGTGTTTTAAGGAAAATGAGGCTACAAAGGTAAAAAGAGCACAGAAGAACAGCTAAGGAGTATGGGTTTTATTTGGCAGCTGTTGAGGAGTGTGGGAAATTTGCATAGGGCAGTGACATTCTATCCTAGAGATGATCCAGGGAGGTTACTCTCGCAGAGGCACAGGGGATAAACTGGATTAAAGGCGAGGGATTTGTTACTTATCTTTTCATTAGTCTAGTAAAGTTTACTGAAAGAGTCAGATTTCAGAAACTGCTTTGAAGGTCTTTAAATGACACAGCAGTGCTGTGCTTAATATTGTAGTAAATGGTTAAAAGCATGGTTTGAATCCCTGGTCTATCATTTGCCAGCTGTGTGACCTTGGGGAAGACACTCTGTAATATAGGGTTATTAAACAACTACCTTCCACAGTCATTGACAGAATGAGGCAAAATATATGTGGGAAAACACTTCAATTGATTGCAAAGTGGTGCACGCTGGTGCTTTCTGTTTCCAGGGTTAAAGTGACTTTCTGTGGGCTCGCTCCAGGAAGGGAGGATGGGAACGGAAACCTGACATTGGGTCTCAGAGGCACTCACCTTCCAGGTCCAGGGCTGCAGCTGCTGTCAGACACCCTTCACAGGAACAGATGGTGCTCACAGTTGGGACGCTGTCAGTGCCCAAGGACACCCAGGGCCCTGCTGGGTTCCCACCTGCAAGCTCCCTTCCTAGACAGTGCACCTGTACTTGAGCTTCTGGGGCTACTCTAGTCTGCCAAGAGCAGATCGTGTCTGCAGAAGGAGATATGATAAAGCCACAGCTCAGTGCATGGAGGTGCATACAAGTTTACTATAGAAATGAGGATGACCTGAACACTCAGGGTATCCAGCAACGTGCAGATTCTAGGGAGAGTGTGAAGAATAAAAGGGAGCTTCTACCCTCCTGAGGTTTATACTCCAATGGGGACAGAATGCTGAGCAAATTATTCCATATTTTTAACAGCCAATGTGGGTTTTTTAATGATAGAACTATAATATTTATTAAGGTACAATTTTATACAGTACAAGCACAGATTTTAAACGTTCAATGAGGTGGCTTTCAACACCTACATACACCCTTGTAATTGGTCATCATCTGACCCCTCCTAAGTTCCCTTATAAGTGCTTCCTTCCAGGTAATCTCCACCCTACAAAGGCAAGCCTGGACTGACATTTATCAGTATGTCTTATCTTTTCTGTCCCAGGACTCAATACACATGGAAGCCATACAGAATATATTCATTTGCCTCTGCTTCCTTTGCCCAGTATAGTTTTATCATTAGCTCCATCCCTGTGGTGTGAACAATAGATCTTTCCTTTTCAGTGCTGAATAGCATTCTATGACGTAATTATTTCACAATTTGCTTGTTTTTGTTGGTTGTCTATTTATTATTCATTCATTCATTTTGCAGTGCTGAGGCTTGAACCCAGTGCCTTGTGAATGCTAGGCAAACCCCATGCCACTGAGTTACATCCCTAGCCCCACATTTTGCTTATTCTTCATCTCTTGGTGGACATTTGGGTTGTTTTCCAGTGTTTTTTTAAAAAGTTGTTATGAACATTCTGTGCAAGTCTTTTAAAATAGATTTGTGCTGCCATTTATCTTCAATAAATACCTAGGAATAGTTTTTCTGGGTCCTAGAGAGATACACATTTAATAATAAAAATCAGGCCAAAGAGTTCTCCATAGGGTGTACCATTTTGCACCCCAGCTAGCAAAATATAAGAGTTCCAGTTGCTCTACATCCTTGCCGACATTTGTGTTGTGTCTTCAGTTTTAGCCACCCTGGTGTGTTGGTACTGGTTTCTCATGTGATTTTAATTTGCATGTCTCTGATGATGAATAATGTTGGGCCCTGTTTCCAATGGCTATTGGCCTTTGTATATCTTATGTTGTGACGTGTCTTTTCAGATCTTTTGCCATTATTGCTTTGTAGGAGTTCTTTATAACAGTCCTGTGTTAAATAAGTGTGATGAAAACTTTTTCCCATTCTATGAGTTGCCTTTGAATTCTCTTTCTTTTCTTTCTTTTTTCTTTTTAATGGTACTGGCAGTTGAACTCAGGTCCTTGCGCTTACTAGGCAGGAACTCTACCACTTGAACCACTCCACCAGCCATTTTGCAAAGAGCAAACATGTTTAAATTCTGATAAAGTGCTTTCTTACTGTTTTTTTTTGGGGGGGAGGGTGCATTTTTCTTAATACATTTTTTTATCCTGCTAAGAGAACTTTGCTTCCTCTGAAGTTGTACACATATCTCCTTGTAGTTTCTCCCCTACCCCTTGGCGGCTCTGAGGTTTAAATTCAGGGCCTTACTCATAGTAGACAGGTGCTCGACCTCCTTGAGTCATACCCTGAGTCCTTTGTGATATGGGTCCTTTTTAGATAGGGCTTCATGCTTTTTGCCTAGGGCCAGCCTCAGACAACCATCCTCCTACCTCTGCCTCCCACATAGGTGTAATTGCAGGCAGGCACCGCCATCATCAACTTGTTTGTTGAGATGAGGTCTCAATAACTTTTTCCTAGACCAGCCTCCAACAGCAATGCTCCTGATCGTCACCCTATGGATTATAGGTGTGCACTACCACGCCTGGTCCCCGTGGTTTTCTTTTAGAAAGTTCATGGTTCTCTGTTGTACATCTAGACATATGATCCTTTTTTGCATTAAATTGGGGTGGGAGGTAGCTTTGTTTTTTTCCCATATGGCTCTTCAATAATGTTACATAGGAGTAACTTTTAACCAATTGATATCAGACACATGGGAACGTCTGCCTCAGTAAAAACAGAAATAAAATTGACAAAGAGAGAGAACTTTTCAGGCAAACACTTTAATTGAAAGGGAAGAGGACTCAGATAGAAGGGGGCAGCACTGGCTAAGAGGTTCAGGCTGCCCCAAATCAGGAGAAGGAACAGGCTCTGCTATCAGGTTGCTGTAGTAATTCTCCTCTTGCCATAATGATGGGATTTTTAAATTTTTTTCAGTTTAAATTTTTTTTTATAATCTTTAATTAGGTTATATTCATTATGGGGGGGTTCATAGTGACAATTCCGATTAGACTTATAGTGTACGTTCATTACATTGTCCTATCATCTCCCCCCCCAGCCTCTTCCCCACCCCACTTTTAAAGCAATTGCAAGAGGTTTCTTTGTTCTGTTTCGTATAGGTATATGAAGTCTATCAACCATATACCCTTGCCTTCATCTTCTTCATTCCCCCTCCCCCTCCCACTGGTACCCCCCTCACACACACACTCTACTTATTTTACAGTCCTGGTTTTTGTTATTAATATTTAAGCTGATGTTCAAAGGAGTGTCTCAATGTATGCCCACTATGGGAGTACTTTACTTTAGTCCATTCAACCCCTTCCATTATTCTCTCTTATCCCTTTATCTCCCACCCCCCATTTTTAAAGTTTTCAATACACATCCTTGTAGCCTCTACCTTCACATATTAGGTTATATGATATTACTGATGCTCTATTATTCTCTTTTCCTTTCCTGCTTTCCCTGAGTTCCATAGAGTAGTTCCACTATTGACCATGGAATTTTTTTAAAAAAAATCTCTTCCTCATATTTTAAGAAGTATGGCTCAATGGCCATTTCATTTTCGGAGACGTAGTGGTACCACCCCACATCTGGTGGGTTTTGCCCCTCCAATAAAACTACAAGGCAGGGCATAAGTTGTCAACCAGATAGGGACTTTTACTTTTAGTGGGTATCAGGATATGAATTAGGTCCCAAAGATCTATTTGTCTCTTTTCCCCACAAAGGTCTCTGGTCCACCTCACGAAGACTGGTGGAAATTGACATAAATTCCCTGGCTCCC